GCCCAAATAGAGTGAGGTCAAGAGAACAGCAACTTACTCAAACACTCAAAAAACAGACCTGCTGACAAAGAACAAAGGCTGCTTGAATAGGGGTGGTATAACCTAAACTTGCCACAGTACAACAAATAAAAAGGGAAAAAAAATCCATACACCCCTAAAAAATATAAAAAAAATGAAACAATTCTTAAACTTAGCAGAAATAATAGGTGAATAATAAAATGACAAAATAACTTAAAGGTATAGTGGAAGATGTTCTTTTTCTGGTTGGATCATCAAAATAAGTGCTCCTCCTAACTGTCAATCATTCTGGTGATATGTTTACTTAAGGCCGTCCTCTGTGGTTGTCTCCATTTTCACTTATCGGTGTTGAGTCTGACATAGTGGAAAAATTGCAAATCTTCTTTTGGAAAGTAAGCTTGTATGAGTGATGCAATCAGTAACTTAAACAGAGCGTGCACGAGGAGAAACTGGCTCATGTATGCTCCTGCATGTCGTTTAATAGTCTTTTCCTATCGGAAGCGAGTACAGGGTTGCGCATGTGCATTTTTTTGTAAGTGGAGAGGTTGGGTCTTTTCAAAAATTTGCAAATCCTCCACTACAGCTTTTAAAAAATTCCCACCTCAGTCCTTTAGAAAAGTGGTACATTCCTGGCTTCCACCTCCAGCTGATCTGCGTTTGCAGAACCTCAAAAAAAAAAAATAATAATAATAATAAGCAGAAAGACTATTCAGACATATATTACCTAAGGGGTGCACCCTGTTTCTCAGAAAATGAGGCTTTGTGATGGTCAAGAAACTGTTGCATCTCAGCAAGTAACAATGAAGGTTTCACACAACTTGTGAGTGTCCAAATACCTGAGCTATTCCTTTAAAAACCTACTGAGGTAAAAGCTCACTGTGTCGATAATGTTCTTCATTATATAAAGAGATCTTCTTTGTGAAATCATCTCCAAAAGGTCTGGGGTAGTTCTTAGAACAGAGCCGGCCTTCATTATTAACTAGTTTACATATGTCAAGCCCTTTGCAACAATGCTGTTGCCACAGGAAATTATGGGGGCAGAGATCACACTCTCCAGAACAGACTTATAGAAGATATGCAGAATCTTGCTCCAAACACTGTAGGACCTAATCTTCCTTAAGAAGTACTGTCTGCCTTGTCCTTTCTAGTAGAGGACTTCACAGGTGTGTCTTCAGTAATGTCTGTTTTCCACCAAGGTATGCTCCACCACCTCCACTTCTTCTTCCATGATTTTAATAGGATTCAACTTCTTCCTGTTTATTCTAAAATCTATGATCATCTCCCTTGTTTTGTTTACATTTAGACACATATTTTCCATACTATGCCACAAAGCTGTTCACCAGCTTCCTGTGCTAAGCTTTTTGTTCTTCTCTGATGCACCCAATGACTGCAGTCATCCAAGTATTTTTTGCAGCTGACAGGAGTCTGTATTGTACTAGAATAGGAGGAATATGGAGTTAAAGCGGAATAGTGAGAGTACCGGTGCTGCTGTTTTACTGACTACCTGATTAGACAGTTGATCCTTAAGTCTCACTAAATGGGGTCTGATTGTTTTTTTTGTGTGAGGACTTCATCTGAGTCAAGATAAATACAGGAGTGCTTGCTCAAGTTATCAGGCAAAGTCAATTTTTCTTAAAACTCTCTCCTGCAGCTTCAATGCAAAATAGTTAAGCAACAGCTGTGTTGATTCAATAATAACATATCAACATGCCAAGCCAGTAATCTTTTCAAATTAATGCAATAATAATGCATTAATGTGATACATTAAAGTAGGTATGGAGCCCTTTTTGGACTTGTTTTTAAGTTTCTTTGTAAGTTCTCAGTTACACTTTGATTTATGTTATTCTGTGTTTTCTTGATAATCGATTTCTTTTACATATTGTGTTATGTTTAAGCAGGGTTTCATTTTTTATGTTCCTGTCTGTTGCCCCATGTGCCAGTCTCCTTTCTCTTAGCTCCTTCTAGTCACCCCTGTCTACAACTGCACCCTCTCAGCTAATTAGTCTTCCCATTGGTTCTGTCTCCCATACTATATACACCTCCTGTTCAGTTACTCATTGCTGGACCCTCGTCATTCTTTTGGTTTATTCCTCTCTTGTGTCTCCTAGCTTTATTGATTCTTGAGTTTTCCTTGTCGATCAGTTCTGAACTTTGAATTTTGTATTTTTTATTTATTTTTATTTTTTTATTAAATCTGCAAAAAACCACCTGAGCGTCCGTCTCTGTATATGGGTCCTCTAAAAACCTCATGCAACAATAACAGTATTAATGCAGCTATTGATTCATGCTTTATTCAGTGTTTAACGTATTTTTTTCTTTAGTGCCTTAAAACCATATAGAAAAGTAGTTAGCGAGTCCCTTCTGTATGAATGGAGTGCACTAGCATGGAGCATGAGGAGATTGTGTTTCAAACCACCAAGTCAGTGTTTGGGCACACTTTACAATACCCCAGGGAGAAGACAGCTTGATATTAAGTCACCAATTTGCAATCGTTGTAAAATTAAATTGATACTGCAGCAATATGACAAATTCTTGGGTTCATTTAGTGTCACATAGCCCTGAGCTAAAGGAAGTGGAAAAGCTGTAGAAAGCACCTGAGCAGCATACTGACACAATGCAAAAAATGTCCTTCTAGCTCCTCAACAGCTAAAAAGATTGCTTTTTAGCATTGCTTACTGCCTTACAGAGGATTTATAACTATAGGCCTCAGTTGAAGGCAGTTCAAGACATTGTAAAGAAATAATGTAATGTATGCATAATGTATGCAGAATACCGAGACAATTTGAAAAGAAAAATTGCTATTTGAATTAAAAATAGTTTCTGATTGAAAATCATTTATGAATTTAATTGTGACCCTAAAAATCTGAATAATCAATTGACTCTAAAAGATAAAAAAAAAAAAATCTTTGCAGACTCAAGCCATCCATTTATCATCTGATTATTCTATAGTAGTTATCAATCAGTTGAACTACTAGTTGTACTTTTTCCAAGCTCTTCTAGTTTTTTTCACCTCAATATTAACATCTTTGCTTGGCTCTTAACTTAGACCAACTGAAAACTGTATTTTGCTTACTTAAGCTGAAACACAAATTACATTAAGTGCAGTCTGGAGGTGTGTGGTTCTTTATTGCTTGTCTTTAATAAGAAACCCAGTATATACCAGAATGTGTGGCAAGGGATTCCAACATCGACAGGTATTTTCCGATGTAAAGAGAATTGATTATTCATTGGAAATGCTTTCATGGTTGATTAATAGAAGCTAGAAAAAACTGTTGGTGGCAGCAGAAGTTCTGTCAATAAGACAAAACAGATAACAAGTTTAATTAACAGGCTACCCGACTGATCATCATTCCTAATGCATAACTAGAATAACAACAAATAGAGGTAAAAGTAGTTGCTGAGCATGGTGCTTTTTCTGCACTGTGTGTGAACAGCTGCCATGAGAGACAGAGGAAGAAGCTATTTATTTCATAATAGAATATAATGACACATTCTAGCTCTGATTAACAAAGAGAACTATCCACTCCTCTCTGGAAAAAGAGCTCCTTTATATTCAACTGTTTTTTTTTTTTTTTTTTTTACACAGATGATAATTTCAAAAGCAGACTTTTTGCAAGCTACTTTTCCACTCCATCAAGATTACAGAGATGTGTTTACAAGTACGCATAGACAAGTGCAAAGATTTGAAGCACCACAGTGGGCCCCCCCACATCTAAAATGAATCTGGCTCAGATGAACAGTAAACCTTTAGTAGGTCAAGGCAATTTTCACTGACTACATAAAGAAATTCCTGTTCTATCAAGCTGAGATAATGCCTTGTACACATAGGAATAAGCTGCAGTATTTTGTATAACTTTATCTATAAAGAAATATTTGCTGTAGCCTTTTAATGTATCCAAAGATTTTAGTCTAGCTGTACTTGATAAATGAGCAAAATCAGTGAAATGCCCTGATAAGCTTGGTTTTGGTTAACCAGTTTTTTACTCGACCAAACACAGCCGGAATGGGGGCATTATAAATGAATGACCAAGTATCCATCAAGTTTCATAGTTCTGCTTCCAATATTCTGTCAAACATTTAAGGAGTAGACCATTGCTGTAGACTTTTACAACCAGCACATAGCTGTTGCATGCTGTCTGACTGAACTGGGTTACTGTGCTGATTTAATTTTCAAAGGGACCAACCTTGTTGGTAGGAAACACGATCTGCTAATTAACAAAAATGTCTCCTGGCATTTTTAAGAAAATGACTGAGCTCCCAACGGGTTGATAAAACTTCAGTTATGATTGAGAACGAGGATGTAAACAGAATAGAGGCAGCAAACCTCCAACATTTTAAATTAACAAACAAGAAAAAAAAAACTGGAGTAAAAAAAAATTATTTAAACAACTCATTAAACTCACAATTATATTCTCTATTTAGTACATATTTACTGAATACAAAATTTTCTTTTGTTGAATGCATTTTTCTTTATTGGTGAAACCCAACTTTTTTAGGTTTTACAATCCTAAGCTTTATATAAATACCTTTTTAAAGCAAAACAAGAATCAGAGACTTCAAACAGACTTTTTAATGTGTCTTGAGCCATTTAAATAAACAGTAGCACATTTACAGAGTCCTTTATATTTAAGAACGCTATGATGAACCTGGAATTCACCAAAAAAACGTAAAAGACCTTTAAAGCCAGTTTCCATGGTTTGTGACACTATTTAAATAAAGAGTTACAACCAACATTTCCTTAAATGTGAACCATTCCTGCATGAGGTGATAGTCTGATACTGTAAAGTGTGAATTGCAAAACAGCAATATAATGAGGGATTTATAGGGTTTATAATTAAGTCATGACAAATTTATTATATATGTGAAATAAAATCGATATGTCATGTCAGGCATCGTGTAATACAATTTTTGTAGAATCAATGATTTAAGTAATTCTATCTTTTTGGTTTAGGATTAGTTTTGTGTTGTTTTTTTTTATACAAACCTAATTTATTTAATCACTACACAATCACTACCTAGTTTAATCTGACTGGTGTATCTGTCCACAACACATTAGAAAATTCTAAGTTTTATATTTAAATAGATACTCATGAAAGTAATTAGTTTCTCACATCCCAACACTGAGAGAGGACATTTGAGCATTTTGGTATTAGTGGGATTAAATGAGCATCAAACAAGACATTTTGATTACAGTGCCCCTATGAGGCTCAGCGACAAACTCCAGGTCCTGTCTCAGCAGCTATAGATGGCTTCTTGCTGCCCACTCCCAAAACAGATGCACTTAGTACAGTCCATGCTACTTCCTTGCAACGCCACTCATTGGCAGCAGTTTCCATGGTTTTTTATTTTTATTCTGGCTTATTTTCAGCCTGAAGATAGCAGACGCTCATACTGTCACTTCTGTCTTACTGTTGGTAATAAAGTAGGGTTGTGGAGGCATGTAGCGGGAGCTGTGTAGCTCGTTCTCTGTGATGCCGGGTTTCTTTTGGCCATAGCTCTGTCGGAGTCCCAGCATGTCTTTGCTTTGCCAGGATCTCAGTCCCCCTGGGCTGACTGCTATGTTGGAAATATGGGACAGTGACTGGGAGCTGTGGCTCCTGTGGCTTTTGTACTTGTGTTCGCTGTGCTTCATAGAATGCTGTCTGGGCGGGCTGTATGGATTTGGAGGTTCTGACTCAATATCCACGCTTTCCATGGGGAGGATGCCCTTGGCTGCCATCTCAATTGCTTGCCTGCGATTGCTTTGGTAGTTGTCATTGGCTTTCTCTGCTAGAAATGGGAAAATAATGGGATGAGATTATTATGGTTCAGCTATAATTCTTCAGTAACTGAAACATGCAACATAACTGACGATACCTTGCAAAACTATGGATTCTTCATGAACCATTTCAAAATGTTTTAGGCAAAAATGTTTCATTATGTGTAATATGTCTAATAATAAACAAGCATTAAGCCGCTTTTCCTCTTGAAGTCCAAAGCTAAGACATATCTACCTATGGCTCTCAGCTGTAACTGTTGTACAAAATGCTCAGGAGGGCAAAGTACATTCACAGCACATTTTTTCTATTTGTGTACATACAAAAAGTTATGTATCATAATGTTACTTCACAATGATGTACTACTTTGTTGTGGTATAAGCAACAAAGTTCTGTTTTAATCAATATGGGAGATAAATATTTTAGCAAAGAACCTTAGGAGAAAATCCAAGATTCAGGAATTTTTGTTGCTGCCTTCAAGAGAAAAATATATGCAGGGCTACTGCCACACAAAAAGCTTTTAAAAGTTATTAGAATACATGAAAACCTTTAAGTTGTATAAATTCACAGGGTTGAAAGGGAGAACATTAAAGTTACTGTAAAGAATATATAGCATTGGGTATATTTATAAATGTATAAACAAAGAAACGCTTTAAATGCTTTAATTACCCCAGATATTTGCTCTGTCATGCATCATGATATAATCTTAAATCATGGATTATGCTTCCTGTATTGTAATTAAACATCCTTTTTTTAACACGTCCGTTCAGATCATGATGGTCCCAAAATGGATTGGCAACAAATGCGAATAAAGATGCTTGTGTAAACTCTTCAACCTTGCAAGAGTTAAACTGGTTTACATCAAGAAAATATTAACTTCAATCAATATATTCTTCTACTGCATATAATCATTTCTCTGTTTGGCTCTTTGTTAATAAATTTTTTTTAAATAAGTGCTATTACTATCTTTTCCCAAAGAATATATATATATATATATATATATATATATATATATATATATATATATATATATATATATTTCCAAATGTTTGTGTACTGGGTAAAATGTAAATTACTCGAGTGAAGATAATGCCAAGTAAGTTATGTTATATAGCGCAGCGTAATGAGTATCTATACATTTGGTCCTAATTATCATTATTCTATTAGCTTCATCTATGAGCTATGATAACACTTTTTTCAGAATCTTTATGTTTAAAGCTCCAAATTCACATTAATAAAAGGAAAAGAAAAAATAGCCCAGTGCCATGTTGGGACATGGAGATAGATATTCTTTTGTTCAAATGTTTATTGACCGCAGACATTTTAAATTTAGCACACTTAGCTGCTATAAATCAGCTCTGTTTCTTTCCATACTGACATTGATGGAATATGGATTCAATAGAAGGACTGCTGCAAAACAAAGACTAAACCACAAGGCTTTAAATAAGCTATGTTTGAACTTGAATTTTTTTGTCCTTTGCACAAAGATACACAGCAAATTGAATTACATTAAATGCTCTTCAATGCATTATATGATGCAGATCATTTTATCCATTTGTGCGTCAAAATGTTCCTATAAAAACTTTGATAAATAGATAAATTCCACTCCTTCCTTTTATCACAAACTACATCTTACCAACAGCCTTCAGGGTGTTGTACTTGTTGAGGTCCTTCAGAGGGGTCTGTTGTTCATATGGGCTGGTGATCTGTCCCACTGCGGGATATGGCTGACCTACTAAAGTTGGAGACTGGGCCACATTGTTCATCTGACTGTTATCTAAAAAAGAAAAAAAAATAGGTTTATAACACAACAACCTCAAACCAACATTTATATTGTTTGCAAAATTTAAACTGATAGCTGATACTTACGTATACCAAACATGTTACATTGACTTCTTTACTTTATAACTATTTTTGTAAAATGTTTACATTTACGTTATAGTGTCACATTTTTCTAAGTACGGCTTCTTTTGAGAGCCAGCTGGAGAATCTTGACTGGTCCTTATTCCACTGAACTAATCCTATAGTAGACATCTGCTAAATTAAGGGGTATACAACAAATGGACTGGTTTCCTGCCTCCCTGGCATGGCAGAAGGAAACAGATGTTCAGAGTTTTCTCTCTTTAATCAGTTCAATGAAGAGTAGTTGAACATTCCAAAAAACAAGTGATAGTTTAGGCTTCAATAGGGCTGCAGAATATCAGGTACAAATGTAATATGCATTGTTCAGAGATGAAATATATATATATTGTGACGATCCCCTTCTGTCCAGTAGGTGTCTCTAGTCCTCTACATGTTTGGTCCCTTTTTTTTTAGGAAGCAGGTAGATGGACTGTTAATTGCACACACCGGTGAATGATAAAAGGGGACGACTAGTCAGTCACTCGCTCTGCTTGTTTGCCCTCCGGACCAGGCCGGAACGAGCAGCATTGGTCCACACTTCTCTCCGACTGGCTGGCCTGATCTCACTGAGCGTATTTTTGTAATCAATAAATCATTGTTGCTATGGATCCGCTCGTCTTTCTCCCTTTTTGTCCTCGCCTTTGAGATGGGCGTGACAAATGGGGGCTTGTCAGTTTGAACCCGGATTGGGGATCAGCTTTCAGGTAGTGTGTTGAGTTGTGAACTCTGTTTTGTTGGGGGACGTTGACGAGCGTGCTGGGTTTGGTGAGTGAGGCAGCCGTTGTACATCTGTTCTGAGAGAGTGTGTTTGTGTAGCAGTGATCGCTCCTTCATAGCAGGTCGCGGTGTTTCTGTCCCTGTCAGGCTTAACAACAATTTCCCTTATGGAGTTTGTTGTGGGGGGATTTTAGTGTGGTGTGAACGTGGGAAGAGCAGTTGTCTCGGGAGCACATCCGGAGTTGCAGGGAGTCGCCATTTATTGGTTGCTTTTTCGGACTCTCGGGCGTTAGTGCATAAATACCCATCACAAGTAACACCCGAAGACTAGCGGGGGAGATTAGTTAGATTCTGGTTAGGCTGTTAGAGGGACGGGGTCGCTGTGACGTTGTGGTTGTTTTGGGAGCGTGGAAGCTCAGAGTGCTACTGGTTGGAATTCAGGTGTTGTGTGGATAACTGTAGATGTTATGGCTGCTGTTGAGGATTTTTTGCGGGATCCGTCTGAGGAGGGCTTGGAGCGCTGCACACGCGAACAGTTACTAAAGATAGCTGAACATTTTACGTTGGAGGTCAGTGACAAGCGGTCTAAGGAGAGTATAAAAGCCGCCATTAAAGCTAATTTAACTGACTCCGGTGTGTTAGGACCAGCTAAGTTGCAAGCTGGCGCGACGTGGTTGGACACTGACGTTTTTGATACTAGATTGACTTTTGAACATAAGCGGGAGCTGCTTTTACTGCAGGCTGGGATAGAACAGAAAAGATTGGATGTGAAAAGGCTGGAGTTGGAAGAACGCAGACTGAGCTCAACTAGTGCGGGCAACGTCCCCCTTGATGCTTCCGGTAGGGGAACGTCTAGCTCGTTTGATGTTGGGAATAATCTGCGTTTAGTTCCTCAGTTTTCTGAATGGGATCCGGATACCTTCTTTTCCCTGTTTGAGCGTGTTGCTGATAGTCGAGGTTGGTCTGATTTGGACCGGACACTGCTTTTACAGTGTGTGTTCACAGGCAAAGTACAAGAAGCATACTCTGCCCTCACAGGGGAGGAAAGTAAGGTTTATGCCACTGTGAAGAAGGCTGTTTTAACAGCTTATGAGTTGGTACCAGAGGCTTACCGACAGAGGTTTCGGACATGGGAGAAGGCTGGGAAACAAACCCATGTTGAGTTTGCCAGGGAGCTGGGAATCCATTTCAATAGGTGGTGTGCTTCCTTACAAATTAGCACTTTTGTTGACCTCTGTAATTTGGTTGTCCTGGAACAGTTTAAAAACTCTGTTCCGAGTCACCTTGCGGTATATATCAGTGAACATAACGTGAAGACAGCTGCTGAAGCTGCTAAGCTGGCAGATGAATATGTTCTTATACACAGGGGTGGCCGTGAGTATCAACCTCGCAGTGATTTTGGTTACAGGAGTGGCAATCAATCTTTTGTGGGAAGTCATGCAAAGGGGGAAGGCATTGGTTCTGATGTGAACAGTAGGTCAGAACGGATTTCCAGTGGGCATGTGTATGTGGATCTATCTGATGTGTGTCATTATTGCAAAGCCAGAGGCCATTGGAAGCGGGAATGCCCAAAAAGAGGTGCTCAAGTGAAATCGGTTGCTTTTGCTGCCTCTGAAACGCATGGTTTTGTTTCCTCTAAACAGGTGGACACAGGACGGAAGTATACTTTGGATCAGGAGGATTTTTCACCTTTTCTTTCTGACGGCCATGTGTCCATGGTGGGGAGTGATGCTACGGTACCGGTAAAAATTTTGAGGGATACTGGAGCTTTTAATTCATATATTGTGAGCTCTGGATTACCCTTTTCTGAGGAAACCAATACTGGAGACCATGTATTGATGCGGGGAATGGGACTTATGGTGGAACCAGTTCTGCTGCATAAGTTGACTTTGACGTGTGGATTGGTTCAGGGGGAGGTTATCATGGGGGTGCGCCCTGCACTTCCGCTGGAGGGAGTGGATGTAATCTTGGGCAATGATCTGGCTGGTGGCCGGGTGTGGGCTGATTGTCCACTACCTGCTCCCATAGTAACTTCTTCCCCTGTTCTAGGGAAGTTGGATGAGAGTGCTCAGTGTTTCCCTGGGGTTTTTATAGCTTGTGCGGTGACGCGAGCTATGTACCATGCTGAGTCGGCATCCGTCCCTGACCATGAAGGTGGAGGTGCCGAAGATGATGATTTTTTCTCTCTTTATGTCCCTGATTCTCTTTTGTCTGTTTCTCACAGTGACCTGGTGGCGGAGCAGAGAGCGGATTCTTCTCTTCGTCATCTTTTTGACCAGGTTGTCACTGATGACGAGAGTGTGGCCTGTGGGTATGTGTTGAAGGATTGATTGTTGGTGCGGAAATGGTTGGTACATGGGGAGGATTTTGTTGGGGGTTCCCTTTGTCAGACTGTTGTTCCCTCGAAATTTCGCAGTGAAGTGTTGCGGGCTTTCCATGATCAATCAGGTCATTTGGGGGTCCACAAGACTTATCATTATATCCTGCGTTATTTTTTTTGGCCTCGGTTAAAAAGGGATGTGTCTGAATATATCAAAACCTGCCACACATGTCAGATCCATTAAAATCCATTCACAGGCTTCAGTCAGTACAAAACTCAGCAGCTCGCATCATTTCTAGAACCCCTTCTTTTCATCACATCACCCCAGTCCTGCAGCAGCTCCACTGGCTACCTGTGAAGTATAGAATTCAGTTCAAAATCCTCCTACTTACTTTTAAAGTTATTCACAATCTCTCCCCTCCATACCTTTCTGATTTACTTCAAATTTCTACTCCCTCCCGCATTCTTAGATCTTCTTCTACCACTCACTTAGTTGTTCCTTCAGCCCGTCTTAAAACCATGGGGAGCAGAGCTTTTTCACGTTCCGCGCCCACACTCTGGAATTCTCTCCCCTCTGACATCTGCAATACCGAGTCTTTACCCGTATTCAAATCCAAACTCAAAACCCACATGTTCAAGATTGCCTTTTCATTATGATTTTATATTACTTTCCTTTGTGTAATTTGTGTTGTTTCTTTTAATTATGACGACTGTTTTTTACCATTTATTGTTTTTACATGTACAGTGACCTTGAGTGTTTTGAAAGGCGCTTGAAATAAAATGTATTATTATTATTATTATTATTATTAGATGGCAGGGAAGCCAAATCAGAGCATTAAGCCGGTTCCCTTGTACCCAATTCCGGTGGTTATGCAACCTTTTGAACACCTCATTATTGATTGTGTTGGTCCTTTACCTCGTTCTAAGGCTGGGAGTAATTATTTGTTGACGGTAATGTGTCAGACAACAAGATATCCAGCTGCATACCCACTGCGGACCATTACTGCTAGGTCTGTGGTAAAGGCTCTGACTCAGTTCATTTCTATTTTTGGTATTCCAAAAGTTATCCAGTCTGATCAAGGTTCAAATTTTTCTTCTCATTTGTTCGCTCAAGTTTTGAAACTTTTACAGGTCAAACATAATCAGGCTTCTGCATATCATGCTCAGAGTCAAGGTGCTCTGGAGAGGTTCCATCAGACCCTCAAGTCCTTGTTGCGTACTTAATGTGTGGAGTTAAATCAGGATTGGGAAGATGGCTTACCATGGCTTCTGTTAGCTGCTCGTGAGGTGGTGCAAGAGAGTACTGGGTTTAGCCCAAACGAGCTTGTTTTTGGACATGCAGTGCGTGGGCCACTTAAACTGTTACATGATGCTGTGAGTCCTTCAGAACCTCCGAGTAAGTTAATTGACTATGTCAATGGGTTTAGACATCGTTTGCATGTGGGGGTGGAAATGGCTAGGGAGAAGTTGACCTCTTCTCAGGAGAAGATGAAGCGCATCTATGACCGTAAGGTGGACCATCGATGTTTTAGTCCTGGTGATCAGGTACTTGCATTATTGCCAGTTGTCAGCTCCCCCTTTCAGGCTAAATTTACAGGCCCATTTACAGTCCTGCGCAAGCTGTCGGATCAAAACTATCTGCTGTCCACACCGAGGCGTAGGAAGTCAACACAGCTTTGCCATGCAAATTTGTTAAAACCCTATTACACTCGGGAGTCACAGGTATCCAGCAAAGATGAGGAGGTGCAGGTTGATAAGACTGTCTCTGTGGCTACTACAGTAAGTGGATTAGGTTTCTTATCTGCACTTGAAAACGATGGGGTGATTCCACCTAATGA